GATAGCTACGTCCACCTTCCGTCATATCAAGTAAAGGAGGATAGATATGTTGTATCACCGGTTCTCCCATCCGAAATCCGATATGCCATTTCGTCGGTGAAAAATCGAACAGCACAAGATCCGGACAGGATAAGACCAGAACACCTGAAGAACCTTCCGCCAGTCCACGTAAACACACTGGCTCGGCTCTTCACACGTTACCTGACTGAATACATGGTCCCTACTCAGTGGAAGACCAGCATGACCGTGTTATTGTTCAAGAACAGTAACCTACCCGATACCGTCAGCTGTCGCCCAGTCTGTTTGCTGTCTGTCGTCTACAAGCTTTTCACATGAGTCATCCTAAACAGGGCTGACGGAACACTGCACGAAGGGCAGCCGTGTGACCAAGCAGGATTTCGAAAAGAATTTAATACGATGGACCACATTCACATGATAACAATGCTCATTGAAGTATCGCGAGAGTACAAAGGACCGCTCTGTCTTACTTTCATCGATTTAAAGACGGCTTTTGATTCAACTGAGATAGAAGCAGTCACGGGAAACCTCGACAGCCAAGGAGTCCCTACTCAATACATAAAGATTCTTCGTGAGTTGTACAAAAATTTCACAACCAATCTATCACCATTCTACAACGATATTAACATCGACGTCAAAAGAGGGGTTAAGCAAGGCGATACCATCTCGCCAAAATTATTCACCACCACCTTCGAGGACGTCATGAGAACATTGGAGTGAGATAATATGGGGTGAAATTCGATGGTGGGCAGTTACACCATCTTCGCTTTGCTGATGAGATCGTGCTTATAACAACAAACATTAGCCAAGCGGAACGCATGCCTGCCGATTTTGATAAAGCCTGTGGATAGATTGGTCTTCGATTAAACCTCAGAAAGCGATGTTCGTGAGGAACGGATTGGTATCGTATATCCCTTCACGCTCAATGGTATGTATGTCTCCGAATGCTCCAGTTACCTCTATCTATATTGGAAAATCAATGTGATGAACGACTTAGCCCCAGAGTTAAGCAGAAAGAAACGAGCGGCTTGGGGAGCTTTTAAGAGAATCGAGGATGTAGTTAAGAGAACGGAAAAAATCCGACTCCGTGCCCACCTTTTCGACTCAACGATACTTCTTGCATTAACGTATGCGTCAGAAACCTGGTCGCTGCGTAAGTAGGATGAGAGGACTCAGCGTTATCGAACGCGCAGTCGAAAGGAGGATGCTAGGAGTATGCATTCAGTAGAAGGAAGAGAAGAGAACCGAAGCTCCGACCTGCGTAAACGATTTAAAATCAAAGATGCCGTTCTGTACACCAAACAGTCGAAGATAGGGTAGGCCAGAACTGTAATGCATATGGACGACTACCGATGGACAAGAGCCATTAGTGACTGGCTTCCTCGTGATGTTAAACTCACTGCAGAAAGACCACCGACCCGATGGTTGGAGTTCTTCACGAAGTGCCTAGAAGAAAGATATGGTGTTCAACGAGTCTCAGGAGCAAGTGAAACCCACTGGGCTACTCTTGCACGCGATAGAGAAAAATGGAAGATTCACTCGCGCTCGCTCGAGTCATTCGACCATCAATGGGACTACACAGAGGTGATAGAGGCGATCAACCACCTTGGTACCAATAACGACACCAGCCGACATGCGCCACTTATCTCTGACAACGACAACCATCATACTAACTGAGCGGGGATACTTCTACGTCACAAATAAATCTCACTTTGTGTGGTGAATTAAGTTCAACTCATAGTCAGCATAGTTAAACGATATTATTTTAAAAGTGTATATTTCGAGTTGGAGCTAAATTAAATTGATATCAGAATGATGTAGTTCATATATCGTGGTGGGTTGCTTGCATTCTAATCGACTGCTGATAAATTGAATGAAACTACAAGTGGATGGTGGTCCAACTGTGCACAGCAATCAAACGAAACAGGGTTATAAATTCAAAGATTCTAGAGACACCCAAGGTAAGAAATAGATTCTATCGTGCATTTCGTAGTGTGCAAACAGGAAATTCATTGTATGTTCAGAAAGCCATTTCTTCGTAAATGGTTAAGTGTAGAAAACGGTTTCTCTGGTCCGATCCCACCTGCATCACTCTGCTTCTGATAAGCCAATAAAGGATTACAAAACGTCTGCCAAAAAGGTTCTGCGCGGCAAATTCAACAAGGTATTGTGAATGCATAATAAAACTATTAAAGCTTGAATAAGCATCAGAAAGAGATTAAGCCTGAAATGAAGTATTAGAATGCCATTGAATTCGTAGGATAAACCTTTGTCACTGTGCGCAAGCCTGAGCTAGCCGTGGCACGGGGCTGAAATTGTGCCGATGCTGAAATCAACAAGATATTGTGTCCGTATGAAGAATCACAGAAGCTTTAGTCTAAATCCGACCTACAACCATTAAACATCGTTGTGATCGTAGTCTTATAGTTAACCAATCCAATTCTTGTTAACCAGCATAGCTAGCATAAACTTATCTGATCATAGGCCTTGTTTTGAAATCTTTTCATCGATTTGAAAAAACTTATGGAAAAGAAAATGAATCATGGTCATGTCAATGAAGATTTTTTCCTCGATCGTCACTGAAACGTGCTCTCTATCGTCGCCTGGATAATGAGTATCTTTTGGTCGGTAGTAATGACACCAGGGAGTACAGGTTCCTTATTTGGGCTACATATGAGCTTGCATGCTTCCTCTACGCTTCATTTACTCAGTGTGTCCGGTTGTATACTACTCTCTTTCTCTTCGTCATTCTCAGGTGATTACGAATCGCTTTATCACTTCCACAATATTATCCAGACTGCTTTTCATTTTTCTATCGTTCTCACTAGAGTGAGCATCAACAAGCAAATTGCAAAATGCTAGTACGCATCATAGACAAACTCTAAATACCTCCTAAATCAATAAAAATTCAACCGTAAATTTCAACCAGCCCACACTTAAATTATTCCCCAACTCAAAGCAGAATCATTTTCTACCAACCTAGTGATAACCCACGAACAGCAATTCAACGATAGCAACCGCAAGAGCTATCTTTTAGCAACATGAAGACATCACGATCGTTGTAACACTTTGAATACCCTATGAATTAATCACGACCCATCGTAACATAACAAACCTTTAACCCATGTCTAATTTACTCCTTATCCATTCTCAAATCCTTCTATAACCCAACTCCAACATTTACCCTTCAAAGCATCGGCGCGCCACTATATAGCACAACTTCCATATGCCTTACGGCTAATCCTAGCGTTTTCTCCTTTCTCCTACTTTCTCCTAATAACCACCAGTCTGGTCTACCTTCCCTTAGCTTTTCCAACCTTTCCTTCAGCTACTCTACCTTTTCCTACATTCACCTTTCCTTTCTTATCTTCTCTTGCTTTTCCCTGCCTTCCCATCGCTTTTCCTAAATTCTCCTATCTTCCTCTCCTTTCCTCTACCTTCTAATTTCTTCCAGATGATACAAAACAGTATTTTTTAAACTGACCATCATTCAACCTCTGCAGTTGTAAACAATATCGTCATGGATACCAGTGAGGAAGATTCGACTCGATACGACGATGATGACACCACATCGAGAATACGAGCCACTGGCGACTCGGCTCTGATCATCGGCTTTGATGGATACGAATAAATTGAAACATTAGCCGAATAAACATCTTTATCAACCTCGCGTTTGCTTAAAAACCCATGAAGTTGAGATACAGTATGCTTACAACTCGGTTTTTAAGCCTATGCTTAACGTTCCAAAAGTTCCAGTTAAGCATGATAACCGAAAAAAACAACGTACATTAGGGAACAACACAATGTCTGGCTATACAAAATTTCGTCTGATCAATTGCTTTCGGGTTCAAACTACGAGACTTGACACAAAAAGGTGAGAAAGATCGGTTTCGCAGACTCCAGAACGCCAGTTTGTGCAGGCAACAGCATAATCTCCATTTTTTCGAAGTTTTGCTGTTTCGTCATTGTAGCACCCTGGAGTCCCGAGGTTAGCCAGGCCAAAGTTTGCTCCAGTTCGTCACCACCACTGGCAGTAGCCGCCTTCGTGGATCCCAGGGAGATTTGCTAGGATGCGAACATGCGATTAGTTTGATAACACGACGCTAGTGGATCCTGGTATTGGTTTAGTCTTAGCTGAGCTTCCTAATGAAAAAGCAGGACTCCTTCTTAGCTTGGGAGGGCGATTCCATACCATCTGCTGCTTAGTGTACTTGTGGGGAACCTAGTCGCTACGTAATCAGGATGAAGAATCGCTCCGCGTTGTGAAAAACGCAGTCGAGAGGACAGTACTGGGAGTATCCCATATCAATAATCGGTGATGAGCACACCATAGTTTTCTACAAAATGTCGAATGTGACGTGAGCGGAACGGATGATGCGTTTGAATGGCAAGCGAGGGAAAGCGAGCCATTGGCAACTGTACTCCGCGAGATTTCAAGCGCACAGGTGGAGGTCCACGAATCCAGTGCCCCACGAAGACACTAGAAGAAACATATGATTAATAGTTTATGATACTTATCGAGTGCATAGAACTAGTGGAACCCACTGAGCTACTCCTGCTATTAATAAAGAAAAGTGGAAAATTTTCTAGCGGTCGCTCGTTACATTCGACGATCAAAGAGATCGCAGATGGTGTAGATGATGAAGGACAGCTGAACATTTCAACGTGCGTACAAGCCAGTGATCGCTCCTTCGAATTGGTGACAATACATCTAAGAAGGATAAAGCATCGAGTGAACATATTTAGCCAGATAAGATGTCACACGCTAAGCTTAGTTTTTGGCACGGACAGGAATTGTTACTCACACCTCATAAGAGTAAGTTTGTATCCCTATGGAAAAAGAATTATCGTCATCTTTAAACCACTAAGGAAAAGCAAGTGACGTCGACAACCACAGCGGAAAAATCTTTGAGAAATTCGATTTTGGTACCACTTCCCTGGAATTGAGCAAGCGAAGGTTCATATCTTCATTGTGACCCTGACTATCCATCGTGACAAAATATTCCAAATGCACGCTCTTCAACACTGGTCGTCAGTTTCGTTTTTAGAGATACCGTGATGAAACTGATCAAATCGCAACGACTAGAATGCTGTGGCATTTTCTTTGCTGCTTTGAAGTTCTGCATGGAATCAGAGTACTTCCAACTATGAGCAAGATTATTCCTCTTCTGAAATTACATAAAGCCATTAAAACAAAAAAGCAGGCTGAATCCCAAGGTCGCCGCAGATTCTAACTTTTTTCTATTTTAGGTACAAGTAAACGAATAAGTCACAAGAAGAAACCTGTGGACTCTCTGGTATGCTTGTTGGAATACAAGTACATGAGCAGAAAGGAGCTATAAACTTGCGCATGGGTATGTAAAATAGAAGAAATAATATTAGGACAAGAATATGAAAGAAAATTTTGAAGGAGTAGGGCTACAGTACAGGAAAAGGCGGGTCACCCACCTACTGAGGACAACACGCGCCGAGCCCTAGCCAGTTACTGGACCAAGATGAACGCTTTTTCAACAAGGCTGTTGTTGCAACGAAAGCTGCTTTTCCCCAATAAAAAGTCTGGTATATTGTTAATGAAAAATCAGGCATTAAACCGACCACCTATGGCACCAGTTCAGAACAAGTAGTTACACTGCGGATCGCTTATATTATACAAGTTTTCCAGGCAATAGAAAGACAAGAACAGCCTTGTTGTAACGTTATCAAGTATTGCCCATTTTGCAGATTTCCCGTTTTCAGCAAGTTCTCTAGTCTAATTTACTTTGAAGAGTAAACGAACAACTATCATAAAAGCAGGAAGGTTCCAACCAGTTTTACTCATCTACCTCCTTCATTGCCTTAATCTATTTCATAAGGTTCATAATTGATTCTCCTATCTATTGCAGCAGACGAACTCACCTTGTAATATTTCAACGAAGAGTTGTTCCACATTTGTTATCAATGCTGAGTTCCATTCGTTAATGCCTCACTGCCTTTACTGGTCGTTTCTGGTATTGAATTACTGTCAGTAAATTTCCAGAAATCGTTGGTATATACTTGGAACTGTCCCTGTGAAAAAACCACAGTTCCGGATGACAATGCTGAGTCCACTGAACGTTCTGCTTCGCCTTTACTTGTTGCTTCCTGTACCTACGCGTGAACTTCATATGTGCGACACACATTTCGAAAGACAACATGGATTATGGCTAATTTCTGAATCCATTTCAAAGAGAGCAGTGGAGGTCCAGTTATAGAACTGGCAGAGCTGCATTCTTCTTCGACATTTGCAAACTCTCTGTTATTCTTATTTGATAAATGAAAGATGAGCATGGTGGCGATGTTCGAAGAAGACCCACCATAAACGGCGAATCCGCTCAATCGCGAAGCCGAGTGGCCCAAGTAAGCAAGTTAGTAAGTACAGAGCTTGAGCGATTATCATGAGTTAGAGAAAGCATTCAACAATTTGGGTGCAACTCCACACTTGACGTCAATGTAGCCTCAGCTCTCAAAAGCACTTCCACTGTTCAACCGTTTCCTGATTTTGGTGTAATGTTTGGTGCAGCATAGAATGAGGCTTCCTTAAAGACACCCATTAAAAGTGGTTTGATAATAACTTGACCTAATACTTCTTTAAATTTCCACAGTAGAAAAATTTAATGCTTTTGTGAGTTAAGGCCCATTTCTTTTCTTATTTACTACATTAGAGTTCTAAGACTGAATGAAAGCTGAGAAGAGCGGTGACTTCAATAAAACATTGCACCACAGGAAGCATTCCCTATAACAACCATCGTCAGATTACAGAATTTTTTTCTTTGGAATGTATCCTACTCTCATGAAAGTTAACACGATCATGTTCCATTTCAAAACAACATCTTTATTGTAATTAAAGAATACAGACTACTGCTGAACAGAAAAAACTGGCGCGCTTCAAAGCGTAGAGCCTGTCGATGTTCCGGAAGAGCCTAAAATGGAAATAAGAATCGAGCGCCTCCCCAACTTCACAGTAGAGTCATAAGAAAAAACTAGCTCACGAGGTTTAAGTGCAGTGGACGGTGCACCCATCGTTTTGCTATCGTACAGCTGGAAACCATTATGTTTCATTCAAGTCATTTTGGCTACCCTATACAGACCTACTCACATTTATGAGATAACGGTCTACTAACTGTTTTTTAAACTGTTGATTTTGATCCCAGCTCACGAATTCGGAGAATAAAAATGAAAATCTTCCATGTGAAACTTAAGAGGATATGTTACTGGACGACTTGGAATTAAATTGGCTTATATCATAAAAATTGGAAAAAAAACCTAAACACTTAAACTCGCAAAGACATCGTCTTATAATTCATTCAGCATAGATCCATACAATTAATCCACTTGGCTCAATTGACAAGCGCTCTCGCCGCAACGACCCACGCTTGTTCAGTGAAACAAAGCATTACCTGTAACACGTGTAGTTAGTCGTCGAGTGACTCGAGCAGGAGCCAGTAAATCTTCCATTTTTGCTTGTCACGTGCAAGAGTAGCCCAGTGGGTTCTGCTCGCTCTAGAGACTCGTTGAGCATCATATCTCTCTTCAAGGCCCTTTGTGAAGAACTTTAACCATCGGCTCGGTGGTCTTCCTGCAGTGCGTTTAACATCACGAGGAAGCCAGTCACTAATGGCCCTTGTCCATCGGTAGTCGTCCATATGCATTACAGTTCTGGCCCAGCTTAACTTCGACTGTTTGGAGTGCAGAACGGCATTTTTGATTTTTGATCGTTGACGCAGAACGGAGCTTCCGATACCATACCTTACTTGTGTGAAACGCGATACTCTTAGCATCGTCCTCTCGACTGGGCGTTCAATAACGCTCAGTGATCTTTCACCTTGCTTACGCAACGACCAGGTTTCTGACGCATACGTTAAGACAGGAAATACCGATGAGTCGAAAAGATGGCACGGAGTTGGATGTTTTTCGTTCTCTTAACTACATCCTCGATTCTCTTAAAAGCTCCCCAAGCCGCTCGTTTCCTTCTGCTTAGCTCTGGGGCTAAGTCGTTCATCACATTGATTTTCCAATGTAGATAGAGGTAACTGGAGCATTCGGAGACATAGTTTCAACTCAGCGTGAACGGGGAATACGAAACCAATCCGTTCCTCATAAACATCGTTCCTGTGAGATTTAGTCGAAGACCAATCTTTCCACAGGCTTTATCAAAATCGGTAAGCATTCGTTCTGCTTGTTGGTGTGTTTGGTGTTATAAGCACGATGTCATCAGCAAAGCGAAGATGATGTAACTGCCCACCATCGAATTTCACCCCATATTATCTCACTCCAATGTTCTCATGACGTCCTCGAAGGTGGCGGTGAATAATTTTGGCGAGATGGTATCGCCTTGCATAACCCCTCTTTTGACGTCGATGTTAATATCGTTGTAGAATGGTGATAGATTGGTTGTGAAATTTTTGTACAACTCACGAAGAATCTTTATGTATTGAGTAGGGACTCCTTGGCTGTCGAGGTTTCCGTGACTGCTTCTATCTCAGTTGAATCAAAAGCCGTTTTTAAATCGATGATGAAAGTAAGACAGAGCGGTCCTTTTTACTCTCGCAATACTTCAATGAGTCTTGTTATCGTGTGAATGTGATCCATCGTATTAAATCGTTTTCGAAATCCTGCTTGGTCACATGGCTGCCCTTCGTCCAGTGTTCTGTCAATCTTGTTTAGGATGACTCGAGTGAAAAGTTTGTTGACGACAGACAGCAGGCAGATTGGGCGACAGTTGCCGATATCGTGGAGGTCACCCTTCTTGTACATTAGCACGGTCTTGCTGGTTTTCCACTGAGTAGGGAACTCGCACTCAAGCGGCCAACGTGTGAACAGTCGAGCCAGTGTGCTTTTGAGAACTGGTGGAGGGTTCTTCATGTGTTCAGCTCTTATCCTCTCCGGACCTGATGCTGTTCAATTGTTTACCAACGAAATGGCTTGTCGGATTTCTGAAGGAAGAATCGGTGGCGCAGCGTATCCATCCTTCTTTATTTAATATCACGGAAGGTGGACGTGGCTATCGAAGAGATCTGAGTAGTATTCGTGAATGATTTTTTCCACTGTCTTTCTGGACGCTGTAGCTGTTCCGTCTGGGCGCAGGAGTGCAATCATCTTGGTCTTGTAATTGGCGAAGCTTCGGTGGGATCCGCGAATGTTTTCCCAGCCTTTGCAGCTTCAATCATTACTGCAGCTCTTCCAAATAAAGCATATGCGCATATGGTTTGGTTTTTGACATAATCACATTCCGAATTTCTCGCTAACTTAAGCGAATCTCTTCAAGAGCAAAGATTTTCACTTGTCTAGCCCAACTGTTAGCATTGAACAACACAACACGCTCATAAACAGGCACCTCAAAACTTACCCCCGCTGCATGTTTTCTCTTCATTTCATTCACCTTCTCAATAATTACATCTGCTTGCTTCCTGACCAAAGCGTCCGAAGTGGAAAATTTCGCAAATGTGTCAGAAAGTTCGTCGAGTATGTCACTCAGCTGCAAGAAAACGGCACTTTTTTGAATTTTTCTCAATTTCGAATTTTCGAGGCTCCTAATTTCACAGTTCTTTTTTATGCGGAATACCAGAGAGGTCAGTCAAGGACTCCGTAGGACATGCTTGCAGGACGAATGGAAGAATGAGTGCGCAGTAAAAGCGACCTGGTACTATACCTCAGAAGTAGGTGGATCAAGGTGACTTCAGATGGTTTATTTGCCTAATTCCCTGTCCATGCTGCTTTGCACTCCACTTGTTAGTTTCATATACTCATACATTCACATAATGTACTTCCACGTCTTTAGATTACACCGTAGGCGTATATCGGACCAAGGCCTACAACGATTTGTTTGGGAAGCGTCTGAGAAACAGTTTGGACATTAAAAAAGCCCAATGTCTTCTCTGGAAGAGCCCGAAAAATATGCTATGAGTATGCTTAGTTACCATGACAGAAGCTGCTAACGTGACCTTCTCGCTAGAAACAACAAAAATTAAGCTCAGTCTACGCTGAAAACTTGGTGCTATTCGCTCTCTAAAACGAGCAAAGTAGAGCGGACAGGTCTGGACCGCCACAAAGGTTTTTGGTCCCTGCTAGACGTATTATATGACTAACGAGGCCAATGATAAATGTGGTCCGTAGGTTTACAACTAATTCGCCGCCTATCGACCAAAGTGTAATTTACTAACGCTAACGTTACTGTAAAAGAGTATCAGAAATAACTCACAGTAAGCAATGGTTTATTCTCACACTGCTTACAAGGATTAATTGCGGCTTTCTCATGAGCATTTGTGCGATAGGTATACTCCACGGCCTTAAGTTAGTTCAATTCAGATTTTGCTTTCGTGTGATGAGTTGATGAAGATAAAACTCGGTGGTATGCAAGAAGCAAAGCCCCATACCTGATCCAGGATATCTTTGGCGTCGACCGTACTATCATATCCAAAATGTTCCTGATGAATGCCGATTGCTGAATCCTAAAGTGTGGACTAAAGGAGTAAAGAAGGCGCTAAAGAAGTATTAAGTAATAAATTCTTGTCATGACCACACAAAGAAGTAACCCATTTCGAACATGCGAAAACAGTTTACACCCAGAAAATGAACTGGTTAAGGCTTTGTAGATTTTGAAGAGAAAATTTGAAGTGGCTGAAACAGGAGGAAGGTTGGAAAAAAATTATTCGAAACATAAGCGCACATGGGGTTTATCCTTTAGATTAAGAAAACATAGAAACGCGAGTGATATCTGCATTAAACGAAAAATGAGATGAACTCATTCAAAAAAAAAAAAGACGTCAGGTGGGGAAAGATATGCTCATCGGAAATTCACCATCACCACGTGCCTTGGTTTTGCTCACTAAGTTATCCTGCCGTTGTCAATGACTAACGAGTAATAATCAATTGAGTTCGAATCTGCAAACTGCATAGTTTCATGGATACCATGGTGATAGGGTGAGCAGGACATGGGTGCAACGCAGATGCTCGGAGTTCCGATTGAAGTCCGCTGTCGAACATTCAAAGTAACCGTTGCATCAGGTGCAGAGCAAAAGGTCATTTGCAGCGAAGCGGCTCACAGTTGAAGGAAATCTTTTATAAAGGAACGCAGCAACGTTCGCTAACTGCTAGAATCGCCGTTAAGTTAAAAGAGCGACAAATCACACCAGTATTAGCTTGTTCATGCAAAATATTAGCAACACAGCATTTGTAACCGCTGTCGCAACTAAAGTATTATTTTTTCATGGCAGAGTGTAATATGAAATACAGTCACAATCATGCTGAAACATTTGCAAAACTCGGACCTGGCTCAGATTCGAACCCTCGATTACTTTCCGCGGCCTCACACATTACCCATTGAATCACAGAGGTCCCATCAAAAGTTTGCCAACGGAGTGTTCGAATCTGGTGTGATATCTTAGTTTTGCAATTATCTCATCATCATTGGGGTCGCATTTCACATAATACCATGTCATAAAAGGATAATAGACGGTAAATCATGGCCGACATTGTGATTTCGACTGCAGCCTTAGCTTCACTCTGTTCAGCGCCGATTTGTGCTCCGCAGATCATTCCCGTTGACAATTGATTGCTGACGACATCATTAGGGCAAAAAACTTGATGAAAGGAGGGAAAGCCAAGAGCCTCGGTGATGTATGGTCCCATGGAAAGGGTGACAGCTAGTCTGAATTAAGTAAATGAACTATGTTTTACTTCCCAACGGTTTACTGCCTCATCATGGCTGGGTGGTATTCCCACTGGTTGTCCCAGCAGGGTGTCGGCTTCCGAAATTTCTATTCCGAAACCCAGCTAAATATAAAACGATACCAGGAATCACCGCAGCGATGCTGGTATCAAACATGGTGACAAATTTTCCTCTGATCCACAAGGGCGAAGCCTATCTAGGGTAGTGATGACCTAAGGCTTTCGCTAGGCTGACCTCCGGACTCCAGAGAACCACCGTGGCTAACCATCAAGTGTAAACTATGCTGGGCACCTCTAGTGTAGATGAGCAATCGAGGCATGCATCCCAGTATGTCGCCTCCAATGCCAAGTTTTGTTCAACTTGTTAAGTCCAAATCAACGATGGACAACAAAAATGAATGCGTTTTAATAACATAATGGAGGAGTTAAAAGCTGGATGAGCTACCAAGCACACAACTTGAACCAATCTGGCTGACTACTCTACCTAAATTAGTTGGTGGATATGATGCCATCTGGATCAACATGACTTCGTCAGTGCAATATTCATTTTAAAAAGGCTTGGGGTGCTACAGTATCAAGGGGATGCTAGAAACTACAATTTCAATTGCAAAGCTGACAAGTTACTGAGTAACAAGACTCTACGAAAAAATCAAATAGCATTGTGAGGAGAGTATGCGAAATTGAGAAGCATTCAGTACTCTTACGTTCCTTAATCAAGAAATCTCTGAACGACTTACTCGCAAGACATCGACGTGACGTTCGAGCAGATTTAAATCGGCGCTCTCTGAAGGATTCGATTCCTGTAAAAGCATCTATGTAAAACTGCATGAGTCGTTGATTCACGAAGGGGCTCACAGCTTGCTTGACGATCGCCTTCGCCTCCTTTTCGTTCCTTCTTCTCTTTAGCTCATTATCAATGCGACCCGAATAAATCGACTCGTCTAGTCGATCAATGAGCACCAAGCACTGCAATTTTCGTCTTCGTGGTTTGGGAGACACTTAGCCAATACTCTAACAATGAAGTGTGTTCAAACAGTTTCAGGATTTTGGGTATCAGCAACCATCGTCGATGTACTCAATCATAGTGTTTTGTAGGCGCGTCGCGGCGAAAACAACACTTGCTTCATAGGGCCAATTGCTCCTCCTACAGATGAGTAACAGTCTTCACACGTCTAATAATCTAACGATGTTATCCGACTTAAGCGGTTAACAATAAAACGTTGAATGCAATTTCACGCTTCAAAGCAAGCTTTGGAAATTGTTTCGAATCTAGCAAATGAGCTTTAATAAACGTGCAAGAATCTTTCTGAAAGTGAGAATTTCACTCAAGAAACAGCAGGTATATGCTTTTGTTCCGGATTTTATTTCTAAAAACTCTTCCTTGTAAGCAATGTGTGAGGGAGTTCTTTCATTAGCTTTATCAATTGCAAGAAATTTGGCACCGCTACACCGGTGGTGGTCCGCCTTTCCACAAAGGAAATAGAAACTTCGACGTTGATCAATCCTCGAGGAATGCGACATAACTTCCACTTTATCACGTAAATGTAATTGTATATTTACCGGAATTGTAAAGTGGCTTATGGTAGCCTATCGATGTATAAAGTCATTGTTCCTATATTCCCAGACAAGTCTTTTTCCAAATGTCCTGGATCCGATCGATCCAGTGTGCATTGTAACGGACCTCTAACCGCTTCGCTATATGTCCCCTCAATCTAACCTTAGCTTGGATAAGAGTCAATACACCTGTCATCCCCAATGTATGGTAATTTGATTGTATCACGACTTGAGACTCGTCCTGGTCGTGTTGAGAAAAGGAAAAGTTAGCTCTAAACCCACACATAGACGACTTATGCCTACTCTAATTCAGGCTACAAATTCTCGTTTGTGAGGACTATTTCGGCAATAGTCTGACATTAATGGAAGAAGATTGAGTTAGTTTTTCCATTTGCACTACATGTAGGATTTTCCCTCTATTTGAGAGTATCCGGAATGCTTCGTTGTCTGTTGCGTGCTAAATAGAATCATTAAGTGGAAAATACTCTAAAAACAATGTCATACATTCCGAATGGGGCCGTCGTAGGAGGTCGTCAGCGATTTTATATCTTTGAGCATGCGTTTTTTAGCTTCTTCGGCCGAACGTATGGCTTTCACCGCTCGATGAGTGGCAGTTGTTGCCTCGCGTAGAAGAGCCTAAAGGTGATTTCATCAAAGGTAGTACACGAGGATGTTTGCTTTGACCAACAATGAAAATGTAATAATCAACGCTTCAATGAAATACGTGAGTGACCATCTGTTTGAAGAAAAACCGTTTCAAGATGCACATTTAGTTTCAGTGCGCTGTTCATCAGACCGTTTCGGGAGAAACATGTGTTTATGTGCGTTATCTTCTTCCAGCGTAATAGTTAGTCGAGCTTAGAATTTTCTAATCAGTTCAAATTCTGCGTGAGCTATTGGACGATCAAGGCATGATTTGCGCTAAGGATTCATGAGAGATTGATTCATATTCCCAGCTCGGACTTCGTTATACACCAATCAAGTCGACTGAAAGTCTGGCACAATGACATTTTCTTCACCTTGTTATTCTTGATCTGGGGCTCTTATATGCTTAATGGAAATTTTTCTAGGCTTTTAGACATCGAAATAAAGACCTTTTGCTAAGCACTTCATCAAATTCTATGCATAATTTACCTCAACAGTTTCTGAGGTTATTTCTTGGTCTCCATCGTTGACGTTGCACGATGTCATCTGAAACAAACCTAAGTTTCGCCCGATAAACTTCCGTTTGTTCGGTTTTGCTTAATTACTTAATGTTATTTTTTTAATTCGATGTGTTCAGAACTTGGTGTTTGAGTAAACGTAGAAAGCACATCTATCGATTGGTTTCCACTCATTGTAACTGAGATGTCACTGTACTAAGTTAGACAAAAGATGAAAAAAAGAAGCTTCTTTATCTACTCCATGAATTCACTGCAAGGCAAGGCCGTTTATAATAGCATAAAGGATAGGGAATAAAGCGGTTGGCGTCGATAAACCCCTAAGAGAAGCGCCCTACATCTTTTGGCTTAATAATGCATTAGTTAAGTTCTGGTATCTTTGCAGACTAGTATGGTGCGCCCATCTGCTGTCTGGAGGCCTTCGTGAACCCAGAACACGAGACGAACGCGAGCATTCCAGATTACCTCTGACTACGGTGCTATACACATTCTTGTTTAATAGTATAAAGACGGACATAAGATATCCATTTTGGATATGACATAACGAATTTTAGTCATCTACTAGTAACATAATGCCCACCGGCGGGCCCGTATAAATAATTCGACAGACAGACTTATGTTATTTTATTACACTGTAAAATAGAGAAACAGAAAAGTGCTTAGGGGATAATCAGTGACTCAGCTTACTTACCGTTCCACGTCGTTGGATGTGTGGGAGTGAGACAGAAAAGCGAGGTTCTTATCAGACAAAACTATCAAAACAAACATTCAACTGATAACATGATAAATACTTATCAGACATATCGAGTACGGTTTAATAGGTGATGAATGAAGAAACTACTCCGGTGGACATCGTGCTACCTTTGTACTCCTTTAAGATGCCTTCTGATGAATCCATTAATGTTCTTACATATAACACCACATATACATAGTTTCCTGCAACTTAAATGTTAGTCAATTTCTAGAGTAAATGCCTTATTAATGATTAACCTTTCGATGTACTTTGCTTCCACCTCCAGAGAAAAACGACGTGCCTTATTTTTGAGAGAACGACACACTACGCGTTTTTGTTAGCAAGAAAGCGTCGTTTGCTCTAAACATTCGGTAACCCGCATCACTACAAGCGTGCGCTTGTGAATAGACAGCTAAATATCGAAGAAACTATCAACCTCACCATTCTGAAACGAAGTCGTATCAAATCGTCACTAAGTCACTAACTATCGATAGGTGAGAATTGCGTGGTAGTGTAACATTTTATTTACTGGTAAAACAATAAAGCATATTATGCGACACATTTCTCAAGATCATACTGCTTACTCTCCGTTCTTCGCTACTCACATCATGCACCTTTATTCGGTGAGCTTCAAATCAGCATCCCATTCACCTGTTTCACTTGTCGTGCCGTTAGCCGACGAGTAACTCGAAGAGGCGCCACTAGGTCTGTCATTTCTCTCTGTCCGGTGAAAGAGTAGCTCAGTGGGTTGCACTCGCTCTAGAAATTCGTTGAGCAACATTTCTTGTTTCTCGGTTTCTGTGAAGAAGTCTGACCATCGTGTCGGTGGTCCTGTTGCAGTACGTTTGACATCCCGAAGAATCCATTCACTAACGGGTCTTCTCCATAGGTTGTCGTTCATACGCATTACGTGTCCGGCCCTTATCTTCGACTGTTTGGCGTGTAGAACGGAGTCTCTGATTTTGATCATTGACGGAGATCGAAGCTTTGGATCCGTCAAATAATTTTGGCGAGATGGTATCGCTTGCCTAACCACTTTTTTGACGTCGATGTTAATATCCCCAAGACCGACTTTCTGTTAACCTGAGCATTGATTGATAAATTGATAATTCGATGTTTTTCTCCAATAAGCAGACACGACGTTGTTACTATAGAATTTATTAGGATGCAATAGCTGACGTTTCCGCGGTTTCGCCTTCTTCGGAGCCGTTTATTTGTTGTAAGTATTTAAGTTAGTTGATGGATAGCAGCCGCACAGAGTAATACATGGGCGAAAACGGTCTCAGTTTAACAGTGTGTTTGTTCTTCAGACGTTTTCGTGGGTCCCAATGTGATGTTCTTCAGACGTTTTCGTGGGTCCCAATGTGATGTTCTTCAGACGTTTTTCTGGGTTCAATCTTGGCATTGAAATCTTCTATGATATCCTTGGAAAATTTATGGTTTTCTGAGCAGAAGTGCATATAGAACGCCTTGACTTCTTTAGCAGTGTGTGCCTCTATTGATCCATATCTCTTCAATCTTAGAAATCCGTCT